CTGCTATCATGCCAGTAGTTTATAGTGAAATTTATCTTGAGTATTTTTTCCTACATTTCCTACAGATGGGAATAGTTTGGGAGTATTACTACAAATGCATAAAAACAAGTTCATTCTGCTGAAGCTTTCATTTAATTACCAATTAAAACAGTTTTGCAACAGAGGACTCTAGGATTTTGGCAGATACTCATAAAAACCAGAGAAAATAAAAAAATGTCTGCTTTCTTATATATAAGGAAATTATAAGTATGTATTTATTAATGTCCTTCATCAACATCTTTTTTATATTTCTACCAAGTCTTATTTTAACAGAAGTTGGAATACACAAAGATTGTTTTTTTTCCCCCTGTATCTTAAAATAGGCATGGCTATAAGCATCTAAAACATCTTTAAAACTTTAAAAACTGTAACAGAAGCTATCAGGCAGATTTATACTCTTAACATTTTATATGTGCAGTTAGCTGCATTATATATTTTAAAATAATTCTTAATGCTAATAAAGCTTTAAGAATTTTTGGACTTTAGTTTATATGTCTTGATATAGAAAACTTTTATTTTTTATTGTCAAGTAATTAAAAAATTAAAATTGCCTCGCTTAATTCTAATTTTCTTAGAAAATGTTGTTACTTTACCTGATTCTTACTTCATCATTCTTAAAGGCCTACTGTCAGCAGGTTGCTTTATTATGTAATTCACAGTTGTCAGCCAGTATAATGTTGATTACTTGGTTTTTATAGGAAAATGTGTGACTTATCTCATGACTTGAAGCAACCAAAACTTAATAGTTTTTGTGCAAACATAGTGTTTCTATTAGGGATGAAATAGTCAATTATTCTTTATGAAGCTTCACTTATTGTCAACTTAATTTTTGTGTCAGGCATGATATCTTTAACATTATTCTGTAGTAGACTGTCAGCCATCAGCTGGTGATGTAAAGCCTATATTCAAATAAATTAGCCAAACTATTTGATGATTTTGAAAATACTTGAAAATTCTGATAACCTAGCATTATAATTGCACTGTACCTTCATGTGACTTAGCTTACCCTCATTGTTTTAGCTCAGCAGATATCTCAATAACATTAAGGAACAGAGGAGATGATGCCTTTAAAGCAAATGTATATGGTGACTCTATAGTTGTGCAACAACACATCAGCATGGATGGAAGTCGATCTTATAAACTAAAAAGTGAAACAGGTTTGTTATGATTTTCTTTTCATTTCTTATAAAATATTAGTAAATACTCAGTTAAAAACAATTGATAGGTAACCATGCTGGTATTAATTAAAAAGGTACTTCTTGTCTCTTGAAACCTTTTTCTTGTAACACGATTGGTGGTTGGATGTATGTATGTATGTATAGATACATGCATGTATTACATATAGTTGTTTTAGCACTGGACATTCCAGCAACAAAACCATGATTAGCAGAATTTGGGTCAGTTTGAAACAGGCTATGCCATTTTGTTCTGGCCTACAGACCTCCTTTCATCCATATAATTTCTATATGGATGTGTGGAAAGAGATGGTTAGCAAATGGTAGAAAATGGTGTAAAGGAAGAGGTGAGTGTTTAATTATTGAAAGGAAGAGCCTGGTGCAGTGGGTCACGCCTGTAATCCTAGCACTCTAGGAAGCTGAGGCGAGAGGACTGCTTGAGGCCAGGAGTTCGGGACCAACATGAGCTAGAGCAAGACCCTGTCTCTATAAAAAATAGAAAAAAATTAACCAGGTATGGTGGCATGCTCCTGTAGTCCCAGCTACTCGGGTGGCTGAGGCAGGAGAATTGCTTCAGCCTAGGAGTTTGAGGTTGCAGTGAGTGAGCTATGATGACACCACTGCACTCTAGCCTGGGCAACAGAGTGAAACTGTCCCAAAAAAAAAAAAAAAAAGAGATAGTTGAGGAGCAAAATGGCAAAATGTTTAGCTATGGGAACAAGATAAGCACTATTACCACATCTGGGTACTTTTCTTCCACTGTATACTTGTACCATGTTTATTCAGATTTACACCTATTCAATGGTACCTTTCTTGATGACACAATGAAAGATAATGAATATTTATATGTTATAAATATACATTTTTTTCTGTATATTGTTCTAGAGACAATCTGGTCATTTTATATGTTTCTCATAACTAGGAAACGTGGTTTCTACTAGGAAAGAAGAACTGATTGCAATTCTTGATCATTTTAACATCCAGGTAATTGCTAAATTTGTGTTTCAGATTAATTCATGCAACTGGTTGTTTTTGGTATAATTTCACCTGCAGTGTAGAAAAAATTTTAATGGCCTCATGTTAGTAAATTGACCTCAGGAAGAACATGTGTAACTATTATTAGTGAAGTTCTTTAAAATTTACTAATTCAACACAAATTGTCAATATGTAATATAACACCTTTAATTTGATGCAGTCAAGAACATCTACTTTATACTGGCATGTGTTAAAATTTATGTTAATAAGGCTGTAAAGTTTCTTTGCTTCTTGCTATCCTAGGTAAAATAGCATCGTTGTTCTCTAAGCCCAGTTGCTAAATTCTTGAAGAAAGAAAATTTATTTTAGAAAGATAAAGCAAGGCTTGAGTCTTTTCTGCTAAAATTTGGCTGAATTAATCAGAAATAGGGCACATATAGTCCTATTAACATTAGCACTGGAATTGTCATTAGAGCTCATCTGATCAGATGAGCAGATAAGAAATAGGGAGCCAGAAAAAATAAAATTTGTCCTTAAAAGTTGTCTAGGTGTGGTTGTTGGTAGAGCCTGGACTGGGCATCCCTGTTTCATACCAATGCTCTATCCATTGTGCCATACTGCCTTGTTCCAGAACTAGAACACCAAGACTAGTTACCAAAGAGAAAGAACAATTAGGAGACCAGGTCTCTTTCCCAATTTGGTTTAGAACAAAGCTGTCCAGAATGTCTTTCTGTGATGGTAGAAATGTTCTGTATTTACACTGTCTAGTGGGTAACCACTAGCCACATGTGGCTCTTGACCACTTGAAATGTGTGACTGAGAAATTGAATTTTTAATTGTATTTAATTTTACTTAAGTAGAAAAAGCCGTATGTGACAAGTGGGATTGCATGTCAGATAGCCGAGTTTAGGAAAAATAATTATTAAAATATGGAGAAAAGCAGATACAGCAAATAAATTTCAGACTAGCATGCTGAATTCTACACAATTTGTTAGAATCAGGGAAGCCAAAAGTTAAGAGTTTATGGAATCAGAGGTGTTGGGAGAATATTGAAGGGGATCCACTATAGTTACCACCCTCTGTACTTGACCTATGTAGAATCTCTACCAGGTATTCTTGTAGCAGGTTCTTGAAAGGCTAGTCATAGGGACATCACCTATCCCAGAGGCTTCTTACTCCTTCTGTGGACAGCTGTATTTATGAGAAAGTTTACATTATGTGGAAAGTTGAATAAAGCCGGTTTCTCTAAGCTCCCAATTCCTCAGGGAATGTAAAACATGTTTTTTCTGTATTGAAATATTCGAAAGTTATTATAACTCCTTTAGTCCTCTTGTTGCGTGGTTTAGTTAACCCATAATAAAAGATACAGGTTCATGGATTAAAATACAGAA